ACATACCTACAAACATACATACATTCTTACATACATAGATACATACATAGATACATACACCACATTCTTTTAGAATGTATTCTCTTGAACGGACTCTTATTTATTTATGAAAATTTCATCAATACTTCATCAGAGGGATACATATAATTAAATTCATGACACCAACATACCTTAGCTAGGTCTGCCTTGCCGCTTTTATGCCCGTGTTCCACCACTTGGTTCTCTTCGGTGTCACTGTCGACATCATCGCCATTGTTCTGATTCTCGTCTTTAGACATTATTCCTAGTTGTTGTTAAATCAGCACAATCACTGTTTGCTGTCGACTATGTTTTACAGCTATACTCGCTTTTGAGTTTACTATTGTTATCCGTATCAATACTAATCATAAAAAATAAAGATCCTACACACCGGTGAGCACAGTACGCAGCATCTTTCAGTATATTTTGGCTGTTATGTCGACTTGACTCGAGTTCCACGTGAAATGTTTTTTTTCAAAAGAAAACCAAACCGCAGAAAAAGCGGTCGGCTTTTTATACATACTGACTTTTATTGCGTCATCCAAGACCACTGGATTCCACGGCGCCTATATAAATACATACATAGCAACCGTATATTTATATAGGTAAACATATAAAGCCATACTTGCGACCCACCCCGCCTTACACACCATTCTCCCTTTCATGCAGACAGTATTGTATATATCTGAGTCGCAAACTGTGGGCGTGTATGTCTGAAAGGTCTTCAGAACGCACATTGGGATGCATATAGCTAAGACATCTGAAAGCACGATTTGTTCCGTCAAAAGTATACAAACGCTAACACGTGCAAACATCGATCCAAATACTCGGTACACTGCGAATACTCAAATACATAGATCCATAACCACGAGTATATGTAACTCAAAATTTTTAAATAAATTAGACTGTCACCACCCGGGTAAAACTAACTAATCTCCAGAATGGCAGTATCCAGTATGACACGCAGTAGCTTGCTAGTGTTGACATGCGTATGTTTCTTCACACTCTTTCCACCACTTATATTGGGAGATGGAGCAAATGTGGTCACAGACACCAATCGAACGATTCTTCTCACCACTCTAGTATGTGGCGTGTGGCTACAGATACCTTTTTTGGTTCTTGTTTTGTTGAGAATGCCTTCTTGCTCAGTTGTGTACAGAGCGTATTTGTTCAATGGCGTATGTCAATCGTCTATGTTTAGCGTTGGTATTAAACGTATATAGCCTTGCGGAGCTTACTACTTATCGTATGAGCTGAAGGCAATCCGTTAGGTGCAAAGTATATGTGCAATCGTGCAAAAGATGTGTATTGCGCAGGTACAGGCTTTTATGCATATGTAGATACGTATGTAAGGTGGTTCATACTGACTGATAAAATTTGAACACATTGCTATGCATACACAGAGTTATATATGCATGTACATTCCGTGGAAAATTACACACATATGCAGAAGCGCTTTACCGCCAGCGCATCATTGCCTTTGCACACCATGTACATCCAGGACATGCTATGAATGCGGACGTAAGACCTCCATATTTTAACTATTACATGCTCCGCTTGCGTGAACTTCATATAATCGGTGTATGCATATTTAATGTTTTATGCTACAACTCTATCCAACTTCCGATAAGGATATGTTGGGGTTGAAGAACTGTGATTTTCGAGCGAAATCAATGTTTGTCCTGGTACGTCGTAGCTCTAGTGTAAATAAATCAATTGTTACAGTTTAGTGGCAAAAGTGGTTTTCGGAGCACAGGTAAATGTTAAATGATATTTTTCTCTCTCGTTCGTGTACGAGTGTCACTAAATGCTCATACGTTCCACACACTTTGATAATTAAGAGTTAATGCGATGAATATCATATGCAGTTTCCCTAATGCGAGACTGTACAGCATGGCTAGTCGCACTTATCTTTCCTTGTGTAGTGGGCCATTCAGGGTACAGTGCAGTGTTGAGTTTGCGAATATCTGGCTATAGCTTCATAGTTGCGTAGAAAGGGTACACCACTATGATCTAAGTGGGTGTCAAGAATTCAGTGAGTTTGTGGCGGTAGCGGTGCTGGCTCATAATGGAACTTGTGAGCTTGACAGTATGTCATCACATATATCCAATGCACCGCTGGTTATCAATCGGATATCATCATAGAATGTGGTAATAAGCATACGTCTTTAGGGTTTGGGGTTTAAGGTTCAGGGTTTAGGATACCCGTCGGATACTATCACAGAGTGTGGCACTGAACATGCGTTTTAATACACGGTCATGGTATGATCACGACGTTTGTAGCTACACACAGCTGTAAGAAAGAATATTTGGACTATTTCTAGCATGTCGACATATATCGTATCCATAACAGTCGTCCGGGTAGACATATAGTAGACATACATATCAGACATTGCAAGACAAATTCAGACTCCTAGATTGAGCGTATAGTATGCAGTCAGTACTATCAAATCCCGCAGAACAATAGCGCATATTTCACGAAATAGACCGGACGCATATAATTTTGAGCTTAATATAGACCCAACCCATTGTGTTTTGGTGACATCGATATTGCTATTACTATGTGTTGCACTCCGTACTAGAGGCTAAGCAGATGTACCACAGAATATATTCTTTAACGTCTTTGGCTTCTGTCAGTTTTAGAATATTGTAATCTTATATACTGATTTAACACTCGCAAAAATGCAAGCTGATCACAGACACAGCGGTATCTCGATGATGTACATGTGCATTAAGTAATTATCCCAAACATAGTTTGATATAACAAAGGGCAGTCCAGTACGTCTACTTAGGCCTGCACCGAATTGCTTCAAACGCCACTATAGATTCGGCTGACGACACAGCTACGAACACTTGCGGTTGCAAACCTTGTCGCTTCTGTATACTGTGCACTGCATATGCTATATCTAGCATTTCAAAAGTTCTACCTATCACTACAGCAGTATACCTTGCGTTGAATCCGAGCTTGTCCTTTCATGTTTTTGTGTGTATACACTAACGCGCTACTGTTCCCCCACAGGTGTGCTGATGTATTAACACGACGTTCACACTTTCCATCACAGGCTGTAGCTATAGCCAACATAATACTATACCCCACTACACTCGCAAAGAATGCGACTAGCAGGCCGATACGCCCCTTGCTGACTCAAGTGCTCGATGGGCTATTTATAGCGCTGTAAGTTCGGTACTGTCATGTATTTCGCACGTTGGGCTCTATATGAAGCAGTCTAGGAATACTCACAGCAGATCAAGACGCCTCGGGCTGAACTAAGTACCGAACTGTGTAGTATAGCACTATATGTTCTATACTTAGCATTGGATGTGTTCCATTTCGTACTTGACAGTCCATATATAGCACTGCAAGAGACGGTACTGGCAGGCCCACACGCCCCGTGTTGACTGAAGTGCAGGACAGTGTGTTTGTTGCATTGCAAAACTAAAGAACACTTTACACTTACACTCGACACACGGGTTTGTAATGTAGGCCTCAAGTGTAGTACTGACAACTGTGACGATAGCTAATTTGCCGAGTACTGGTTTTGTGCTGAAAATTTCAAATAGATATGTAGGCTCTCTATTTAGTACTGTGTACTGAACGAATAGCCCTGGCTTGTGTGCTTTTTGTAGGTCACTTGAATGGGTGGATGGATGGCATCTGTATCTGTGTGGTCTTGAATGCATTGGGCGCAATGTACACTTGCCGAAACGATATTGTATATGTTGTGTTTGCCTACTACCTGATTGGACACTGAAAGGTTGTTTGTATTGCCGTGTCCCATTATTCTCAGCACCGTACAAGAACTTGTGCCTCGTGCTAAATAGTGCTCTGTTTGGGTACAGTCTTTATGCGTTGCTGTATGAAGAATCCTTACCAGACAGGCAAACCGGTGTTATAACAACATTTCCAGATCCCAGATGTATATTTTGGACCAGTAATGAGGTGGTGTGCATGTTGTGCAGATGACCAATCTTCATACTATGAATCTATGTCTACTTTGAGGCATATGACTGATCGGAGACTTTTACAGATCTCATAACCAGCTGTTTGTACGGCTTATTTATTGGCACTTATGTCGTCAGCATTTGCCCCATGATGAGATAGCTCATTTCAGTATTGAGTTTCCATTTTCTAAATCCTATTCTCTATTAATGGGTATGCTTTTCGGCCCAATTGTCTCAATTCAAATTTCCTAATTCTATCCGCAAATCTACAATTCAGCATCAGCATTCCCTTCCTGTACTTCAATTTCGTCTGCTTCGGGGCGCCTCTGTTGGAAAAGTTGGATGTGACGTTGTCGGCTTGTGTGTATGTGAGCTGTCTGGCTTACATGCCCATAGGTATCCTGTGCGGAATCGACCAGGAAGGCATAATGAAACTACTGCTTCACCAAGCGTGGAGGGATGACAAGGTGTGTGGTGACATCGCATTGATGCATATCCCGTTTATACATGCGTTTCTATATACCGGTATACTGATTTGTACCCAGAGAAGATTGCGTGTGTATGTGAAGTGTCTGACCCACCTACCTGTCGACGTGCTCTGTGGAGCTTACCAGGGACGCATCATGCAATTCCTGCTACGCCATCGCATTAGTCTATATCTCGTATATGTGTGTGATTGTGAGCCAGTTGATAATAATGCAACTATGCAATGTTGTGTGTAATGTGAGCTGTCTGGCCTACGTGTTAGTTGGCGTCCTATATGGAATTGACCAGGCATGCGCAATGAAGCTACTCTAAAGAAGGATAAGTTGTATCGGTACATTGCATATCTCTATATTTCGTGTATGTATGCTTAAATATATGCCGATTTATACCTACGATTTACATCTACGATTTACATCTATGATTTACATCTACGATTTACATCTACGATTTACATCTACGATTTATATCTACGATTTACATCTACGATTTACATCTACGATTTACATCTACGATTTACATCTACGATTTACATCTACGATTTACATCTACGATTTACATCTACGATTTACATCTACGATTTACATCTACGATTTACATCTACGATTTACATCTACGATTTACATCTACGATTTACATCTACGATTTACATCTACGATTTACATCTACGATTTACATCTACGATTCACACCTATGGCTTGGTATAGGGTTGTGGATATATGTGAGCAACTTGGACTGCATACTTGCAGGTGGCGGTGGTGAATTGTCCTTAAGCGGGTATAACTATACATGCCATACACTCGCAAGTACACAGGCACGCCATATACTGTATAAAAGCATAATAGTTATTACACTCGTACGCAGCTACCAGCACGATGACCACTGCAGGAAGCACGTGTCTGCACAAAGCTCGTTTAGCCACATTATGGAACGTATCTTTCCGTTTTTAGGCAAACATGTTTGTACTGGTTGGGTAGACACACTACGGCACAAGGATGTTTTTTTTTGTACATCAGGCAAGCATTCATGTATAATATCTTCCACTTGCTAGTAGACCTTGCACACCTCGTGTCTATGCACGCAGAATTATTTGCACAATATTGAATGCACACACGCATACATCAACCACCACCAGAGCTGCATGGTCACTTAACTGCTGTATGTTCTCCCGATAGAATGTGAGTGCATATTCAACGCATCCAAGCACATCACTATTCGGATAGCACCATCCGACGTATTCGATAAGCCTCCTCGCACTGCATGCATACACGCAGCCAGTCTCACACAAGACCCTACACATACCCACCACACTACATTATGAAGAGAGCTATCTTCTATACAGGGCTACCAACAATTATTCGTTTGCGCACGGGCGTTGTTAGCCTGCGATATATATGTGGTCTCATAGTGAGATGTGCGCGGGTACTGTCGTTGCGCCTTCATCCTGAGATACGGAAACTAAGGATCCGTTTCTATAATTTTACACAAGACTATACACCCTTTTAAGTATACACCGCAGAAAGTACGCGTTCATCCAGCATTCGTATATGTGCGCCTTGGGTTGCGGGTGAGTGTCATTAGACTGTATCTGCACATTTAATTTGTCCATTTCCAATTCCCCCATTTCTCATATGACCCTATGTACACATATGTGCACGGCAGGAAGCGCTCGCCTACACAGCTTTTATAGGGACACACTTTGGGATGTGGGTGGGTGCCATAGCTGTACCATTGGATTGGGATAGGCCGTGGCAGCCCTGGCCGATCAGCTCGTGTATTGCTTGCACGTGTGTATACGCGTCGAGTGCGCTTGGCTGGGGCGTTCTTAGTATGACCAAATGGTCGCCAGTCCACACACATAAAGCAAAATCTGGATAGTTTTAATCGAGTCTGATGGTGTGTGTGGGCTATGTCAGGTTTAGTATTGAGAGTATGCTAAGCTTATGCATTAGGGCGACTTTAGGTTTTGTTGAGTTGCGTCTTTCCTGATGTTTTAAAGAAATTGGGGGCAACGCACATTGGTGTATTCTCTGTCCTTGCCTTTTAGATGCGCTTGTTCACTGCATTTAAATGATGACTTAAATAGTACGAAGTGGTTTGCACTGAGAACTACATGCATGTATATCAATATACGTATAATTCTTAGAATACACACACACACACACAAACACAAACACAAACACAAACACAAACACAGACACAGACACAGACACATACACAACACAGACACAGACACATATACAGGCACAGGCACAGACGCAGACACAGACACAGACACGGACACAAACATAGACACAGACACAGACACAGACACGGACACAAACATAGACACAGACACAGACACAGACTCATACACCGACACAGACAGACACAGACACATACAGAGACACAAACAAACACACACACACACACACACACACG